AGCAGACGTCAATCGAGCTCAGGAACTCATATCTATCTTGGAGCAGCAGATTGATGTTTGAAATCTAACTGCATCGGGTGTGAATAGAAAACTTTTAAAAGGGAATTTTCATCTGGATTTGTCTCTATACATAGGTCTCTTGATTTTTAGAATATCTTGTATTAAAAAAAGAATAAAGCAATCATATGCAACGAAAAAAGTTCTAAAGCCAAGTTTTCTTCGGTATTCAGTACATCGAGATGCAATCATCTCTTTTACTTTATAAAGGGCACAAAATGTAATTAAACACGTTTGCAGTGCATCATAACATTACCACACAGGTATCTACAGGGTTTTCTATAAGTGTTAGGTTGTGACAAAAATCGTTTATATGAACACACAGGTCAATGTCTAACCATTGCGGTTCTATGTCAGCGTCGACTACTTGTAACGGCCTTTCAAAGGAATATCGGGATACATCTGTGGGATATCTTCTACTTTGTGAAAGAAAGTTTTGTTTTATTTTAATAGTCTAGTTAGATGGGTCATAGCCAAAGAATGTCTGAGGTAACAATTAAAATCATTTTGGATATATAAAGTGTGGAGGATCACATCATTTTTTAAGAACGCTCTACAGATATAAAAGGAATCTCATAATTCATAATAAATCGTTAGACATACTTTTTCTTAACCTAGGGAGCTAAAATTTTTATTACATATATATCTAATCAAGATGTTTTACTTCTAACAGTTGCATAGCAAAAATATGTAAAAAATCGAGTACCAAAAATTTGGTGTGGGTGTCTTATCGATGTCTTTCACCATTACCTTTAGCTAGCGAATTGAAACTTTTAGAAATAAAACATCTTGATTGGATATACATGTACTATTTTAATTGTACCTCAGAAGTTCTCCTAAGATTGATGAAACCCTCTCATTTTCTGTGTATAGAAGAACAATTCCGTAATAGCTACAGTTAAAAAGACGGAAATCCGATAGTCTCACAAATTCAAATGAGAAAGAACGTCTCACTAAACAAAATCAGCTGAAAATCGTGAAAAAAATAAAAATACCGTATGGAGAGCTTTAATTAGATTTTCATTGTTTTCATAGGAACAAGTAATAAGATCGACCTGAAAATTACACGGAATACCAAACTCACCACGCTGTGTGACATATAAAAAATCAGCCACTTCTGGCATCTCACTCCATCGTCGATGCCCAATAGTGACTACTTTTCTCAGAAACTGACTCCTAAACATTATTCTAATACTATTATTCTATCTTTGCTCTTTTTAAATGTAAACAAATATTAACTATACATTTTTTAAGATCAGCATATAGGCTATCATCCAAGAGCGATTGCAACGCATATGCGTTAACTCTAAGACAGCACTGCATCGCTGAAAATATTGAAAAGAAATTGTCAATATTTTTCTTATATTCTGTATTATAACAGATAAAACAGAATGGATGGTCGCGTTTTGTGTTTCAATTTTTAATCGCTTAATACATTGCATTGAAAAAAACAAAATGTACCACACGATTTAGCGTGAGAAGCTCTACTAATTATAAAGGGCAGCTTACTTTATATATACATCTTTTGCTTTCAAAATGAAGAAAATTCTGTATAATCAACTTTTCCACACTGCAAACCAGATTAGTTTTTGATATACCACAAATTCCTTTTCTTATCTTATCAATTAATGAATCATTTTCTTTTAACTTTATTCCATTGCATATTATTAGAATTGGAACGCACATTGATCAGTCCAAATTCAGTCATCGATTGCGGTCTTCAATGTGACTCGTTAAGCAAAGCAACAAGAAACAAAATTCGTTGTATCAAAAAACTGATCTGGTTCACAGCGAGAACAGTTGATTATACAGATTTTTTCCATTTTGAAAACAAAAGATGTATAAACTGTACCATATATATGCTTATATGAATGACTGTCTCTTATATGATTTTGATTGAAATAATCATTTTTCAAACTTATCGGCAAATTAGAGAAAAAACACGAAATATAAAAATGAAAATTGTTTGATTTCTCATTTGTGAAATTTTCTTCTATAATATACATATGCGTCTGATTGAACCAACATAAAAAATTGATCATTTATTCTCGGACTGTTTTCAGGCTATGATGCGAAAGAAAAGAAATAATGAACAACATAACCGACGGTCAATGAATATGCTCATTATATATATATATACACGTATATAACTGCTTTTTAATCTATGAACGACATTGATCATTGAAGAAAACCAGTGTATTTCAACAACATCTTATTTAAATATAATCGTTTTGTCTATATTCACTAGATAAATTCTACCAATGTTAGTGACAAATGAAACATATGTGCCATTATATCTTCAATTGTTGCCAGCTGAAGACAAACAGATGTCTTGTATTATTAATATGCGATTGTGGCTATTCATTCACTCTATCACTACATTCTTCATTCAATTCTTTTTCTTCGAGGCTTATCTTGTTTTGTTTCTTTATTGTTGTGTTTTTTTTCTCTTCTCACCTGGCTTTCGCAATTTTGCTCGCATTATTAAAGAATCTATTCGATGGTGGACATACAAAGAAGAACAAAAATATTGGTATGGATTTATTTTATTGATCAAACAAATAGTATTATTATTCGTTTATATTCTATTCGCTTTTTTGTTTAAATTGCTTGGATTAGTCAATAACGACTATCCTATAACTTACATGAATTTCTATCGTTGGTTTGTCGAAGCATCAACGGTATCGTATGTTCTTTATGGTTCTTTTTGTGTGCATTATATTGGTTATGTCGATGAATTTTTGGATATTTATCAAGTATGTTATGTCATCGAAATCCTACTCAAAGTGCCACTATTCATGTTTATGCGTTATGGCGAAAACCAATCTGACTTTTTTCTTAATGATATTGAAGCTTCTTTTGTCAGTAAATTTTGTAAATCACATACAGAATGAAATATGTGTTAGGAAGTTTTGAAAAAAAAATAAAGCTTTGTCACTTTCTTAGCTTGAATAAATTTGTAGATCTAGCTGAAATGCATTTCATACACCGATAATTTTACAGGATAAACGATGGAAGTATCAAGTAATAGTAGCGTCGAAAATAATGTTAAAAATTTAAAATCATAACTTGGCGGTCTGATAACCAATAGAAAAATAATAAACAAGTGAATAAAATAGCTTAACTCCGTCAATCTTGAATGCTAGTGTAAAGATGCGTACAACTTCTATTTGCTATTTTGACGTCAGAAAATGATGAAGTGCCACTTTTCGATTGTTTCATTCTCAACAACAAATAATGCTACTTATTAATAGGCTCATCCGTCGAGCTGTATAGCAAGAAAGAGAGTATTAAATGAACAACGATAAAATACAGAACATTGTCCATATTCTCTTAGATAACGTTAATCGTTTTGTTCTAAATATTTATTTACTAATCAATGAAGTGTTTACACATGATCCGAATATTCGGCTATTATTAAACGAGAAAGTTAATTTTGTTAATTCAACAGGATGATGAATTTGATGATTCACATTGAATAATAAGTGTAAAAGGCACAATTCATGCTGACGTCTTTTCCTTTAAACATTTAATATACGCCATAGAAATTCTTGTGGTGGCCTATGTTTTTCTTCATTTTATTTCATCGCATTTACAAATATTAGTACTTTCATAGTTAAATAAAACAACAAACAAAAATATCTGTTGAACTAAACAGTTATTTTCTTGACAATTATCTGAATATCGCGAATTGTTTTCAACATTGATTGATAATAAACCAATATTTGTACAACTAGTTTCGAATACAATTCAACTTGCTGTCATTTGTTTTTAATGGTTCAATCTAAATAAAACGCTTAAAAAATTAAACAAAAAAAATAGAAATTGAATTTGAATTTTCTATTTACCAAACGAAATGCTTTAGGTTTTTTCATATAGAATTATTGTACGATGGAATCGATGATCTGTACGCCATGATACAAGACAAATACCTTTAATTGCTGTTACAACTTGTACTTCAGATACAAATTCATGACGACAAGATGAAGATAATATTAATTTATTTGAATTTGCTACTTGACAACCAATCGATAATTTCCAAATACCAGTTGTACATGTTGAAATAGGTAATGATGATCGATAAGTATTTAGTGACTTAGAAATACCCATTTATGGACATGAAACATTGGATTTTGTCGTAGGTTCTAATTAAATTGATTTATGAATAAAAGAATCGAATAGAAAGACATAACTTACTGAATAGAGTAATATGTATATAACTTTATTAACATTGATATTCATCAAATCCTAAAATAATTTTAACATTTATGTCATAATAACTCTATCTGAAGTTTCGATTCGGAAACAATCAAATTCTCCTGTTGCATTCAGATTTATGCATTTCTTGAACTCAGACTCAAACCAATGCTTTGAATAAGATTTTTTAAATTCAGTATTTTGACAAGTTTAATGAACTATACCTATAGAAAGATCAATAACAGCTGGCGAACGATAGATTAATTCGATACAATAAAATATTGATGAACTAAAATTAAAAAAAATATCATTTCTTAAGATAAAATCTTCTTATGTTATTTTCTTTTATCACTCTTCAATAGATTTTGCTCGAATACGAATACTTTTTTCATGTTGTCGTTGATTTTGTATAATTCGTAGAAACTTAAGATCATATTTAATTATTTGATCACTATTCATTTTCATTATAAGTTGACTTTGATTAATAGAAAATGTTTGCATATTCATATGATCTGTTCCAACCGATCATCAGATGCCTTGTGTTCAAGTTGGCATTCGAATTGCTGATTCATCATATTTATCTAAACATATGATACAGTTCATTTATTTATTTGTTTATTTTTCTCTTCTATAAAATAATTTACTTGGAAGAACATTTCACACCAGAGCTGATTCTCTTGTTAATAAACTTCTACTTGTTTCATCTTCAGATGATAAATAAACTTTCACGAGGTAGGGAATTTTTTTCATTACTACATGAATGAGATCGAGAATTAATACCATTTGACTGCTGAGAAAAAATGAAAGACATGCTATTCAAGTATACGACTTGGATGTTGATAGGGAAGAGGAATATCCAAGTTATGGTAAGAGAAACGACTCTCCCATAATTTGCCGAATTTGTAGACGATACATATTATTTCAGTTTATATAATCATGGAATTGGCGCAAGAAAGTCTGGATAAGTTAATAGAAGCATTAGATGGGCACTATGTAAATAGGCATTGTGCTAAGCGCTCCAATGCATATATTCCTTCACAGTGTCGATGATTGATATGGAAAAGATTGGTACAAATTGAATCGGTTTTGCAACGTTACAATATAGCACATATGGATTTGAAACCACACCCTAGTGAAACATCTTGTAAGTAAGATCTTGGCCAAGATCTTGGGTACAGATAAGTGAACAGATCTTGAAAATTTAGGTACAAGATAACTGTATTATCTTGTACCCAAGATCTT